ATTGGCACTGGCCGAAAGCTTCTAATGTGATTGCCGGACTGATTGCTCTGAGCCCATAAGCTGTTGTGGCAGCTACTTTGGCTTTGGAAGAGCATTCAATAGCCAATTAGCCGCTGCACCTGACCGAGGCAGGCTAATTAATTTTGGCCCCGCTGTGGCAGCTGATGCAGCAACAAATTTGGTAATGCAACAATTCAATTGCAGCTGATGCAGTTGCTGCTGCTGCTGGGAGATGGGCAGCTGCCCCACAGCAAAGTGGCAGCTGGAGTCCCGGCGCACTTAGCAGCAGACGTGGACGTGTCTGCGTGTGAAGTTTAAGCTGTTTAGTGTCAGGACGAGTGGGTGGCCGCGTCAGTGTGTGTGTGAGTGTGTGTATACAGAGCCAGTCAAGAAGCGGAAATCAAACAAGACCCACAAAGGAGCTGTGTGGGGAGTGGGGTACTTAGCTCTCGGCTGTCGACTGTTGGCTGTTGGCTGTTGACTGCAGCTGTGGCTGTGGCATGGTACGTGGCATGTCTGCAATTGTCTGCGTGGCCGGCATGGCAAATATTTAACCCAAACAATGCGCTTAAATCAAAAGCGAGCCATGTCTACCGCATAACTACGCGACAAGCAATCATCCACTCTGGAGCTCATTCCGGCATTCGGGATATTCCGGGGCATTTCCACATACACAAAATCTATTTAAACCCACTTCAGCCTGACGCTGCACTTTTGGCTTTTAATGCACTCCAGTCCCCACTCCCGACTCCCCGACTCCGGACTCCGGCTTCCAGTTGAAGTTCGGTTTGGCAGGGCAGGCAAATCAGCTTTTATATTCGCCTGGCCTTTGGCCCCGGAGTTCAGCCATGGAATCACTCTCTGGGGGCATATCCCTAGCTGCACATTTGTGGCCATTGAACTGTGGCGAGACCCATAAACACAACACAAGTCAAAGTGCCGCCTGGCACTCGACTTTATCTTTCAAAAATGCGAGCCACAAAACTTTCGCCTTCGAATGGTCAGTTAAAAACTGTCAAGGAATGCGGAGTGTGGGGCCGGCACTCCCCAAGGACCCGACTCGCCTGTGTCCAAGGCGCAATAAGTCTGGGCATGCATAATTAGAAAACTTTTGCTTAAGTCATATTTGTTTGTGATCCAGCACCCAAAGTAGGCGTGGATGGGGGCTCGAACTAAACATGTGTCGTTATCTTTATAAATCAAAGGGAATTACAAGATGAGCTGCCCCCCCAGAGAAGCCGAGCGTATGCATGCCACAAATGCTTGAAATTGTTGCAAGGCTCCCCCATCCACTTAACTGGACAAAGGAACTGGGCAAGGATTCAACACACATACATACATATTTTTAATGATTTATTTCCAATTTAAGCAAGATTTCGTGCTTGAAATCCTTTACCTAATGGCCCCCACGTAGCCACTGGCCAAAGGGTGCAAAACGCCGAGCATCTTCGGAACAGCTCCACCTCCTCATCCTCCTCCTCCTCCTCCTCCTGCTCCTCCTCCTCCACCTCCTCCTCCTCCTCCAGCTCGTGTCCTGCTGCTGGTGTGCTAATATGCAAATCAAATTTATTGCACTCGCACTGGTCCTGGCCGAGGGTCGCACCACGAATCCTTTTTATCTGTGCTGTCGCCTGGCGTACGGCGCACGCATAAATCTTGTATAAGTTGCTCCTTGCCAGCAGTCAATATGCTAAATCAGCAGACGCCTCGCCCGTACAGCCGAAAGGGGTTACACGGGGGGTCGGGGCCGGGGCCGGGGCCGGGGCTGGGGTTGTGAGATTGTTTGGACAGCTGCTAAGACATTTCAATAACGCTTTGGCATTCCGCATGCCAAGGCGAAATTTTGAAATTGTGGACACACATTTCTTAGGGACTTGCGAGGGGGGGGAGGGGGGGCAGTGTTCAGAAGCATGTCTGCAGAGTTTTAATCAAAAGACTTGACGACATCATTTGATTAGTCGCAACTCACGGGAATTGTACCAAACACTTGTGTTTAAGGCACATATTTAACAACTATATAGGTGGATGAGATTGGCGGTTCTTTATTTCGATTAAGTTAAAATCTCGTCGGTTTCAAAAGTCGATTGAAAAGTAATTGGAAGATAAACACAAATATACATGTTTGCTGTTTAACTCCGGGATATTCAACTGAGTCCAGGATTCTAATATATAGAATCTAGGATTGTATAAGCCTATAATATATGCTATTATATGTAGATTAGCATTGTAAGGACATATTATATACGCTTATGTTATAAGGTATAAATACTTTGGAAGTGAGGTGACAACTCGAAAAAGTGAACACTGAAAACTAGACAAAGCGCATTCCATTCGTAGATCAGGATTTTCGATTTGAAAATTTTCCCTGAAATCCATTTGGAAGGGTAGACAGCAATTATATGGAAACTCTTTCTAGAGTTTAACTAACCGGTTTTAAGTGACTTGCTTAACGGCATCGCCACGCCTGTCATAGCTCACGAGTCCTGCGAAGATTTATAGTGTGAAATGCAAACAGAGCGCAGGGAGGGGCCGCGGTGGGGTGGGGCGAGAAAGTGCGTCGCTTTCACTAGCCGGCAGCCAAATGAGAGACGAAGACAAAGCAACTGCAAAGATATGAATTACGAGTGTGTTGCCAAAGCGACGCCAAATGATGTCCTGCGGTGCAAGCGGCAGGCACGTTGAGTGTGCCCGGCTCGACGCCCTAAATCAAACGGGCAGACATTGTCAGTCAGCGTTAGGGGCGCAATAAAAAGGATTTCGGCTGTCTACCGAATGCATTTTCCCATATTCCCAATTCCGCATTTTCATTTCATGCCTATTGAGTGCTCTGTATGTGGCACGGTGGCACGGTGGCTCGGTGGCACGTTGGGCGGGGCGGTTGGCGACTGCCAGCCGTTGCAAATTTGTCAACAGGCACAACAAATGTCAATGTGATAAGCGGCACAAGTTTTTTATCACAGAATAAATCACTCGCAAAAAGAAAACACCAGAAAATATAAGAAAAAACCCACAAATTTGGGCAGCCGCAAAAAAAAAATGCAATAAATATGATGAGAAGGCCCGAAAGCATGTCCAATGCCAAAAGTTTGCTATCAACGAATTTTCGTCGTGGTTGGCCAAGATTAATATGCCCATACTGGGCCCATTGTCCAGCGTCCATTTGTATGCCGGACTGAACTTTGAACCCCGACCCCAGCCGTTGCCAAATTGTGCTTAAACATTTGCAACAAATTTGCGGCCCATTGTGCCGAACGAACCACAAAGCCAAATGGAAATGGATGCAATTTTAAAGCAGAACCCATGCCCATTTAGTGGGCAATACATCTGATGGTACATCTGTTCAAATATTAGCTTATAAAATTGTTTAAAATGCGCAGCCCATTCGGGGATTGACAACCCATTGACGTGCGCATTGGTCACGCTCGCCTGCACGTACCATCTACCAGGGGGAAGGGGGAGGGGGAAAGGGGGAGGGTGGGTGATTGGGAAGAACTAAGGCCAAACACAAATAAGAAACATCATCAGCGCCATTTGACAGTTGCCACAATTTATCATAATTCAATGCATGCCATGTCCTGTCAATCATCGACAAGGACTACGAAAGGGTGAACACACATTAGCCACTTGCCGCAGGCTCTGGGTTGGGATTCGGTTCGCTGTCTGCTCAAGTGCAGGACATTTTAACAAGTGACTTATGAATTATTCTTTATGCCCCCCACCCAGTCTGCCTGCCCCTTCTACCAGCCAACCATGTCCGGTTGTCACACACGCCATGCATTTTATCCCTTTGCTTTTTGTGTTTCCAAATCAGATTAGCCTCAGCTCTCTGGGCTACATGAAAGGGTCAATAAGGCCAATGGGACTTTTTCTCAAATGGAATATACAATGCGATTTTCGAGATTAGATTTTCATCTGTATAGACAATACGTGACCATAAAACACTTCAATTGTAGCCAAAGACAAACCTCCGCCTTTAACTTAACGCTACCTGCAAAGATTCTTCCCACTAAGTTTATTCAAAAAATAAATATTTATAGTTTTGCATTGATCTTTAGCTCTAAAACTCGAGCATATCGATTTTATCACTATATATGGGCGCAGGGTGGACGTAACCGATCTTTAGAGCAAGTCAATGTTGGTCTACCCGCCAAATTTGGTAACTCTTGCTTGGAAACTGTGCGGGATATCTATTTTTACGGCTCTCTCCCGCCTACTTTGGGCGTGGCAATATACATATACTTTCATACAGACAGAACGAATTAAAAAGTAAACGGATCTCTTTTATAATAAGTAGTTATAAGGTTAACCCAGAACCCCCCCCCCCCCCCCCCCCCCCTCCACAATTTCAATGTACCCGCCTACTTAACGGGACAAAATCTTATCTAAATTGATTAGATATAGGTATAAATCAGAAACTCAGTAATCAATCATCAATCAAGAAGTTAGTACCTCCAATGGTTCTGCTCAAAGAAACTTTCTAGAAAATTCTAGAAATTCCCAAATCAACAACATTTACCTACCTTATAGCCTTAAAAGTTGACCAACTATTCCGAACATATAAATGCAAACATTTTTCTCTAAATCTTTATTTTAAAAAAATTTTTCAAATATTAAAAAAAAAACACTAAAAATAAACACATTTGTATTTAGTTTGATCGTAATGTTTATTAAGTTAATAGCTCTATTGACTAATTGACAGAAAAATATTTATATGTATATATTGTACTTGTTTATATCTAAATGTATTCCTTATGTAGATGGATTATTTAATTTCAAATGAATTCTTGAATGGGAACTGCCCCGAACAGCTATAGACAATTCACGGAAGAACTAAAGCATGAACTTTCGATAACGAAATAGTTATACATAGCATATTGTAAATAAATCACAATTTAGTCTGTCGTTTTTAGACGCACTGATTAATATATGACGCTGCTTTTTCGTAAGCCCTTTATCTAGAGTGGCCAGCGGCTGGGATTGATAAGAAAAGAACTTGGGGATTTGACTGTGCCTTGGAATGAAATCGACTTCAAACAGAACGTTGTATTTATTTGGCCAATATTTGTATGAAACAAAAAAGAAGAGCTTTTAACGTTTGAGTGTGATTTAATTATAAACTAAATTTGGCAAAAACTTGTGAAGATAACAAAATACTTGTTGGGATGGTGTTTTTTTTTTGCAGCGGCTAATTACAGTTAATTTTAAATAAGAGGTTTTTAAGAGCACAGTAAAAACTATGAATAGCATGCTAGACAATGAGTTGGTGTATTGGTGTTTCCCGTGGGCGGGGCCGTGACACCTTACAAGTTCTTGTCGAAGAGGAACTCGCCCAGTTGGCCGTGGGAGGACATCATCTTCTCCAGTGTGGTGATCTTGCCAGCCAGATCGCGCTGGCCAGTCAGCTGCTCCTCCAGATAGACGCCAGTCAGATAGTCGACCAGATGGTAATCGTTATCATCAGCCTTCTTGGAAGTACCCTCACAGGTCTTGATCAGTTCGCGAATAGACTTGGTCACCTCGGTTTCTAGCTTGAAAGCATCCTCCAAAGCCGACAGACCAGTCCAGTTGGTCACCTTAACAGACTATAACGGGGCCATTAAAATGTATATTCAAATGAAGAGAGCATTTCAAAACATTTGCAAAGTATACTAACCGGTACTTTGATCAGGTTGTTAACGGTGTCGGTCAACTGGCCACGCATCGACAGGTACTCCACCAGCTTGGAGCCATGCTCGCGCTCCTCCCTGGCTGCCTTGAAGAAATGCTCGGCGAAGCCAGGACGATTGACGGTGTCGGTTGAAAAGTAGGCAGCCATGGCCAGGTACTGGGTAGAGGCTTCAATCTCCTTCTGAATCTGGTCGCGCATGCTCCTAATGCATGGCTCCTTCATGTCGGGCCATCCCTTGAAAACCGCATTCGTCTTGATGTTGCCTGCAAGCCAATATATCAACATTTAGATAAAGCGGTATGTTATCGATAGATAGAGTAATTTAACAAGAGTTTTCCATATGTGACATACAGTTAAGAAAATCTTGCTTGAGATCTTGCGTTTGCGACTTTCGATTTTTCAAGTCCTGCACAACACTGGACTGTTTAGCTGTGGGCGCTAAGGGGAGCAAGGAGTGGTTATTAGAGCGGTCATTACATAAGCAGCACGGGTTATTGCATACGCAATGCACACTCAAGTTTCTAGAACTAACAAGAGCGTGTGCAAATCCAAAGTGCAGTTATATGTTAAACTCTCACTCTCCCTCTCTTTATTTTTTATTCTCTGCGCTCTTTGTGGTAACGTGCGCAAGTGTCACCATAGTAACGGAATTTGTTTTGGTTTTGTGCCGTGTGCAAAAATTCGCGCTTCTACTCTAACTCAACTTAATCCGTCTCGCTCGCACTAGCATAACCGAGCTTAGGCCGAGGCCGTGTGCAAAAGGTTTTAACAAAAACATAATACGGACTTGTCGATAAGAGAGTTTATTAGTTACGTTCTCCACAGTTGCCGTTATGTGTAGAGCTGAGATTGAAATTCACCTATTATACAACATATGTATGTAAATTAAGCTAATCCGTTATATAATCATCAAAGCTCAAATAATTGCGGCAAGCGAAAGTTAGTTGACTTGATTTTGTATTATATTGGTATAAATATTCAAAAGTATGCCATGAAGAGAGCAGTCAAGCGAACAGCTGACCAGAGATGCTCTTAGATATGTGTGCGCACGCCTCAATTCTCTTACTTGCACTCTCGCTCTCTCTTGCTCTTTGTTTGGCCTTACGCTGCGTCGCCATCGAAGCGAATTGCGTCGAATTTGATTGGTTTTTACAAATTATTTTTGTTTTCACTTAACAATTTAAGAATGTTTTAATATAGATTGAAATTACTTACATTGTAGGTTATCAGCCTGGGCCTGGTTGACCACAGCCAGAACGACCAGTAGGCAAATACTCGCAATTAATTTCACCATGTTTGTTCTTCGGTTGTTGCTGTTGTTGTGCTTGTTGTTGTTGTTGATGTCTTTACACGAAATCACAGAACAAATATATCACTTTCAGTTAATAAATCAATGCAATCAATTTACGTGCTCAGCCTAAATGCACAAATGAAAATGAACCGTTTCGGTTGTACTGCCAATGTTAAATAGAGAACTTTCGAGTCGACCTTTTATCTCGTCTCAATTGTCTATCAAAGCTGCCTTTACACTCACTGGCATAGAAGGCGAAGCTTGCTCTTTCTCTCAAATTTGACCTATTGGATTATTCGGTTCTTCCGGTACCTTACGATACTGATTTATGAAAGTATACCCTGACAAATTGGATCTTTTCACGTACTTGAACGTTTTGTAATTCTTCTGCTTAACGCGCCTTCGCTATGTGAATGCAAACTGTCTGTGCCAGTGCCGAGCAAAACACTTTTAAACGCTTCGTCGCTGGTAGCTCTCGCTCACAAAGAGCGCTGTGTGTGCCTACACAATACGTGTAAGCTATGTGTGTTTGTGTTTATGTGTGTGTGTTTCAGCGTTCTCTTATCAATCCAATATGTCGTCGCATAGTTTGTTATTGTTGTTTGATAGACGTACTTAATTTACCACACTTACTTCCACACGTCCTCAATATAAAATCTCCTCTGTTAATATTAGTAATATGTCGTTGCTGAACAATGCCTAATAATAATGGCCGCCAAATGGCAGCGGAGGCTCTCCAGTCAACTGTTCTTTGTTACAAATTTACTCGTACATGGGGTATATATGATATGCATATACATATGTACAATAAAACCACAGAGTGGTAATTGAAGATAATATGACAAATGAATGAGCTTTAAAAATACTAAGTTTTAAATATAAAATTCCAATTTACCTTTCATGCTATAAAAGAATTGCCAACTAGGTTGGTGGACTTGAACAGTTTAATTGTATTAATATAGTTAAATTGCTTTCTTGTTACTACATAAAAATGTAATTGTGCAGGGTATAGCCGATGCGACCCTTTTGATACAAATTGTGCTTGTGTTAATTTTGACTGGTACACGTCAGGGGTTGCCATGTTCTCATGTTTGATATGAAAAAATATGATGGCTTAATACCTAACTTGAGCACAGATGCTAAAATAATCTTATATGGTAGGGGATCAATCAAGATTTTGATTGACTATCAGTGCCAACACGGCAACTCCTGAAGGGTAACCATAATGTCATATATGATGCCGAACGCCTGATAAGACTTTTGTGAAATGATAACAAGACATTTAATACCAAAACCCAACTGATAAGTTTTAAGAATCATTGAAAAATGTTGTTTTTTGATTGCCTGCAAATGTTGATTTTTATTGAAAAAACATATTCATTTAATTCCTGTTAGCCTTGGTCGTGATGGGCATAACTTTTTATATTGGCTTAAACTAGTTTTATTTTAGTAAACAGTTAATTACATTCGCTTGATTCATTTTCTAGCTCTATGATGAAATATGAAAACTGATTGTGAGAACTTTGAACACGCTGGTAACCCTACGCGCCGCGCAGAGCGCACAAACAACTTGAGAGTGCCTGAGTCACAAAGAAAAACAACCGCAATGGCAATAGCAACAACAACAAGCAGAGACGCGGCCATATTGCCAGAGCCATTTTTGACTGACAACGAAATCCCCAACGGAGAGCCGGCGAGTGCAAAACAGCATACCCATACACTCTCACTCTCGCACACACACTCGCGCACTCACTCACACTGGCGCACAGAGCGAGGCATTGCCGAGGCATAGAAACGAGACAAACGCAACGCTATAAACAGCAGTTCACAATTTGAGTTCCAACAAGAAGCACATAAGAAACAACACATAAAAGTAAAGCAGAAAAACTGAAAATTAAGTTTAACGCGACACTAAAGTAAGTGGTTCTGTTCAATTGTGAGCTACTTAATACGATCATAACAAATAGGAAACTAAAATATTAAAGTTATTAAAAAAAAAAAACAAATTACGGGCAAGCAATTGAAAATTGCGCTCGCGAGTCGAAGAGAGTCAAAGAATATTCAAGAAATTACGACGCAGAAGGCGCATTGTTATTGTTGCTGCTTTGTTTCTTTAAATCGAATTAACGAGAAGCAGACTGACAGATTTTTGAAATTCAAATAGGTCTAATTGTGAAATTTCGTTTATTCTAATTCTAGAAAGTAAAAACAAACAAAATGAAATATTTCATTGCATTCGCTTTGATTGCGGCCGTCTGTGCTCTTGCGCAGGCCCAAGAGCAAACCTGCCAAGTTGACGTGCAGTCTGCTTGCGGACAAACTACTAACGGTGAGTACTCCACACAAAATCCCAAAGAGAGAGAGATTGACTGAGCGCACGAATGGAAGAGAGCGAAAGAGAATGGTTGTATGTGTGTGTGTGATTACTCGTTCCGGTTTTAACTGTAACTGTGTATTGCTTTTGAATATTTTATAATTTTAAAAATAAACAAGCGCTCATGGCCTTTTTCTCAGACGAAAGTAAGCGAAAATACTTCCTTATCTTAAACAAACCAGCCTAATGCTTCCCACACCCTTGCTAAATGTCACCTTTTGTATTCACCCATCACAGGTGGTGTCTCCAATTGTAATGCACGCTATGCCGCCATTGGACATCTGGAGCCAAAGCTGCAGGACTACATTCAGCTGCAGCTGAAGAAGTCTTATGAGTATCTGCTCTTGGCCACCCACTTCAACTCGTACCAGATGAACCGACCCGGCTTCCAGAAGCTCTACCAGGGTCTTTCTGATCGCGGCTTTGACGATACCATCGAGCTCATCAAGCAGGTGACACGCCGCGGCGGCTCCGTCGACTTCAGCAAGGCCCATGACAAGGGTGTTGCCCATCCACCAGAGGTGCACCTCAACGAGCTGGAGTCGCTGGCACGTGCCCTGGACAACGAGAAGGAGCTGACCAACGGCGCCATTCACGTGCACACCAGCGCCACCCACGGCACCACACAGAACCGCGAACACGATCCCGAGATGGCCCATTATCTGCAGGAGAACTTCCTGGGCAAGCAGGCCGAGTCTGTGCGCAAATTGTCTGGCTATGCCAACGACCTGTCCAAGTTGGTCACCGTGCGCGAGCCATCCCTCTCCGTCTATCTGTTCGACGAGTATCTGCAGAAGCAGTAAGCAGTCATCTGTGCACCGCAACTCCTAATAGCTGTTATCAAAATTCACTCATCGTTCTGTTCAAAATACAATTAATTTTCTAGTATTATAAAGATTCCAAAAAATAAACCCCACGCTGCGTTCTGTAAATTTCAATTGTCATCCGAGTTGTGTTAAATAAATCGAAGCGCAGCAGCTACAAAAGCAACAAAAACAAAAAAACAAAAACAAATACGTGAAACATCTGATTTACAATCGCTTATTATTTAATTTGATTTATTTTCCATTTACACACACACACATACACAACATGCATACACATACACACGCACACACATATTTGTGATAACGTTTAAGTAAGCGTTCGCTTGAACAAATGTATCTTTAAATTATGTTACCAAGCTAAATAAATAAATAAACAAAGACAACAATATACGCAGTATTTCATGTTTGATATTTAACATGCAGATAAAGTCGCTTGCATATTCAAAAGCATGTCTATGCGGCGTCTGGCACTTGCTTTCTGCCAGCTCAATTTGCAGCTGTTTGTTTTCGACTCGCTGATAGCAAATGAGCTGGGGGTGTACTTTGCATTCGACTCTGATTACAATTTGCAGCGTTACACAGGAACTATACGTATTTGGCCTAGGCAAAAAAGATTATCTTTTTTATAGAATCACCAGTTCCCCGAACCAGAACCAATGAGTATACAAAGAATAAAAGACTTTCTACAAATAATAATACAAATCTGTGTGTCTTCAATTGTTCGTACTTGACTTATGTGTAAAGTGTGGGAAACATATTAGGAGATAAGTTCTAGTTGTGAAAAATTGTATGAAGTACAATATAACATTTTTAAGGCGCATCAGTAAATTATATTATAATAGAATTTTAATAGAGGGGGAGCGCGGTTTTGAGTACTTTTGAATTCAGTTTATTTAAAACATTTATTCAATAAAAAAAAGAAATCACAAGCTGAGGTTATCAAGATTTGACCAGAAATATGTAATGCGTCATAGAAGAATTCCCGACATTATCAAAAATATATTCTGGATCAGTTACTTTTCAGTCTCTCGATTTCTGTTCAATCTATTACCTCAGTTCTAAGGTTATGTAAAGGTTTGGAGTCGTGAGTATTGGAATATTATATATCGAACCAAGTTCTTCTAGCAACAACTTCTTAGTTATGCAAAATATCTTAATTTTTAGCAATATCTTGCCTCCCAAAATATAACCGACAACCCTTCAAGAATGGAGATTTTGCTTGATTCATATATATATATATTGCGATTTTGATATGACCAAACTCTTCAAAAACAAGCCCTATTCTAGCTATAGGAACGAGCAAAGTCTTACCAACTATATCGTATCGGATTAATGCAAGGTTTTCATTTAAAGGCTTTCTTTGTTGTATGGAAACGTGCCAAATGTTTTGAAAAGGTAAGCGAATAAACTAATCGTATTAGCATATACATGTAACTAGGAAACCTTAATTTACTTTGACAGTTTTTTACTTCTATAAAAATATATAGAAGTGTAATTTATGATATAGCAATTCCGATCAACTGATAAATAAGTGATCTACTCTCGAGAAATCTTCAATTCTGTATCTTATCAGGGAACACTTCACGAGTTGACAAGACTGTAGCCATGTTGCCGCACATTGGAACACGTCATCCGCTGAAGCATGCCTGCTTTGTGTTTGCTTACGTTGGGATTTATCGGCAGTTGCACACGGCCAGACCAGACTATTTCCGGATGAGTGGAGTCCATGCGTTGTGGGGTAGCCATTTTGGCTGTTGACTAAGACCCAAGTCGAGGTACTCTTCTACGCGGCACGATCTCTCCCTTCCCTATCTCTATCGCTCTCACTCTCACTCTCTCTTTCCCCCTGAGCGCTCCATCTCTATAAGTAAGCCTCGGGCTGACGTGTTTTATTTTCTAGCTGCAGCGCAGTTTGCTTATCTTCTATATAGATGTGAATTGCAATTATTGTAAATATTTTGTATGAACAGGCCTCAGGCCACAGCTCTAGTCTTGTGCACGCCTTCTCTTTCGCACAGCATCTCCGTCTCTTTCCAAATATTGAACGCAGCCACGCAGAAGAGCCATTTATCAATTAGTGACGCCCATTCAATAGGGATTTTGTGGGTATATGGACCACTTGCACGTAAAATGCACGTCCATTGGTCCTTTTAATGCCGAGCGCACTTCTGTACGAGTGTGTAGCATAATTATTTGTGCCCCGGGTCGGGTCGGAAGTCATCAAAATCCTGGGCAATAAGCGCGTGTTATGGTGTAATTAGAATATGACAGGCACCACTAAAATGGCCATGGATATGGAAACAGAAACCATAAAGGCAATGATGGCCTCATAACAGTTAAGAGTGCGATTATGATACAATAAGCAGGGCATATGGGACTCTGACTCGGACTCGGACTCGAACTCCGACTCAGACTCGGAATCGTACTCTGACCCCGTTGCGTGCAGTGGTCATTAAATATTAATCCACTTAATATTAATTGCGCTGATTTGCGGCCAGGAGATGCGACATACAAGAAGGCTACGGCTGCTGGCCAAAAACTTTTCATGTTTATTATAAGTAGTATATGTTTAATGTGAGAGGGTGGGAGAAGGGGCAGGGTGGTTCATAATTGCGGTCATTTCGAGTGCATTTGTCAGGGGCTTTGTCTTCCATGGAGTTATAGGGGCTTACACGCACGAGACCCATATGCGAGCAAGCCCGTCTGGAACGAATTGTTAGCGCACAAATTGCGTGTCCTGAACCCTTTTTAAGTGCCGCACATGGTCCACGCTCATAAAGGTGCTCCGCTTGTGTCTCTGACAGCCTCCCGGCTGTTCTGGTCGCTGCCTTCCGAAATTTTCTATTAATTTATGCATTTTAATAAACGCGCCAAGCAATTAGAACATTTTTTGGGCCACCCAACTAGAAAACTATTTCGTTTCTGGTGGCAACCGCCAGCTGTTGTCAAAGGATTCGCCTTCGGCTTTGCTCCTCTTGTTGTTGTTGTTGTTGTTGCTGTTATTGTTGTGCGGCCTGCAGACAAAGAGCTCATATTAATTTATGTGCATGTGAGTGTGTATTTGCATGTGTATGTGTTGCCATTATACTCGTATGTATGCAAAATAGCAATTTAATTTCGTTTTATTGCATTGCCATTTGCAGCCACTGAGCAGCAGCTGCGCCCAGGACTTTCCCCGTTTCAGACTGCAATAAATAATCCATTCATTCTCTTTATTCGAAATTTTAATGAATGTCTCATAACTTTGTGCCGCAAACTATTTGTAGCTCAGGAAAAACTTTCAATTTGAATTTATGCCTTTTTTTACACCAAAAATTCATATATTGTTATAAAATTAAAAAAGAAAAGTTATGTTGTAAATAATTTGCATATAAATAGAAGGCACACCTGACCAAAATTTGGTATTGCAATTTAAAATCTAAAGGGGTATAATGGTTGTGTGCAAATGTATGTAACAGGCGGAAGGAAGCATGGTGTAAAATACACTATAAAGTATATGTACTCTTGATCAGCATCAATAGCCGAGTCGATCTAGCCAAGTACGTCTTATGTCCTTATTTATGAACGCGTCCATATCAGAACCTAAAAGTGCTAGACTTGAAATTTAGAACGTAGGTACTGCTGTTGTCCGATAATCGATAACTTGCTCCGTTTTCTAGCAATTCACAAAAATCGATATCGAAATCCTTTTTTCCTGAAGATCTCTTTAAGATCCCCCACCCCCTAGCAGTAGCTAAATTTGGTGTTGGTAGAAGAAGGTTCAGGTTATTCCCTAGTCAGGCACTCCCGACTAGAGCACTCTTACTTATTGATTGTATATTTATTTATTTACTTAACGTTTTTTTAATTACATAAAAGCGCAGTTAGTTAAGTTAGTAACAGAATTAGGTATGGCTCTTTAATATTTGGCATTATTGTTGACAAATAATTATATTATATTAATTATTGTTTTATATGCTAATATTAACACACAGAATTAAAAAAAAATGAAGGTTTGTAAGCATGAAAAATAACATCCTTTCCAAAATCTTATGCATATTTTATCAAAAAATATAAGCAAATTTATTTTTGAAAATGTATATTTTTTAGAGATTGATTTTATTGATTGATTTTTTTATCGACAATAAATAAGAAATCCATATATTATTATTATCTAAATTAAAAATGGCTTTAGTTTTGCCAAAGTAATAAAACTTTGAAGCAAAGAAAGATAATTAAAGTTCTGCAAATTGTGGCTATCATCGGGCATGTTCAGGTATGTTCTCGTATTTATTATTATTTAATCTTAAATGTATTGTTTATATAACAAATAACATAACTTTCTTTCCAAGCACTCTATATAAACATTATATGGGCATATTGTGCGTCTCAGCAATTTGTGCGTAATAAGGCGATTTGCATAGTCAATAGCCCGCTTTGAAATCGATAGCTTGCAAAACAATTGGGCCAAACAAAGAAAAACACAGCAATCCATTGGGATTCAACGATTAGCAGAGCAATCGAATCAGGGCCCATACAGTTGCATAATCATGAAAAACAACCCAATGGATTCCCGATAAGCAAACCTTTGATAAGGCTAAGAGCTCAAATTGATTTTATTCTTTCATTTTGTTGCCTTTTGTTGTTTCCGCATAAATGAAATGTTTTGCAAAATATCGTAGCGTACGTATTGTAGGACGAACCGGAGGCAGGAACTGCAACCTGAACCGGCGAGCTGCAGAGCCACCCCAATGGGCACAGCTGCCGGCAGTCAATTTGAATAAATCCACTTTTCAAGGTCAGTGGGTAAAACAAGTTGCGAAATTTAAGTGCACCCCGTTGCAAAAATAAAACAAAGAAAACAAGTTAGGGCAATGCAGTACTTAGTATATAAGACAGTTAAATACCCTGTACGAAATTGAATGCACCTCCAAGAGATCTTGTCCGCAAGCAAACTATGAACAGCGAGAACCCTGAATCCCAGGCTAGTGTGTTGATGTAATGTAATAAAAGTAATAATAGTTATGAGAATAATAATAAAAATATAAATAATAATATTTTTTTATTGTTTTGACAGTGTCCAGTGTGTTTATTCTTAATATGAGAGGTTGGATATATATATAATTTAAGAATAATAATAGTAAAAACAATAATAATAATAACAATAATAAAAATATTAATAATAATATTAATAATATTAATAATAATTGCACAAAAAAAAATATAAATATAAAATAATAAAAACATTAATAATAGTATTAATAATAATAAGGATAATTGTTATAGTAATAAAATTGATAATAAAATTAAAATTAAAAATAAATATAAACAATAAAAATTTATAAATAGCTAATAAAAATATGAACAAGAATATTAACGATAA